AGCAGCTAAACTGTCCTTTATTCATGGGGCAGCCATATTGGATTTTAACATAGGGGTTGGTCAAAGTTGGAAAGCCAACATTAGGTGGGGCTTTATGTTGTGTTTCCAACTCGAAAGACGTCAGCGAACAAATAAAACGAGATTTTTTTTTCTGCGTCGCTCTTCCCCTGCATGCCTGGGTTTTCTCCAGGTGCTCTGGCTTCCTACCAACTGCGCCACCAAGCCAGTTTTGGAATAATGAGACCAAGCATGTGATTTGTGTGTAGCCCACCTTTACCCTTAGGGCTCCCTAGATTCTATAATGTGGCGGTACTTCTTAACAGTTTTAAACTTCACCACATACATGAAATATGATATTAATAATACTTTTAACATTTAATGAACATTAGCTTTTAACCCCTTTTAAACTGTAATATGCTTTATGAACTACATTAATGCACTAACGTGTCTGTCCGGGTTGCATGTGTGTAAATAAACACTAAGCTGTGATCTTCTGCACAAATTCTAGTGATTTTTAACTGCACATCTGTGAGTAAAAGGCAAAAAAAATATTGCAAGTATTAAACTGATACTTGGCTGACTGGGATTCTTCAACACATTTGCAGTGGTGTCTATTATAAACAAATGCCTTGTCAGTGAATCTCTGTGCGGAAAAAGCTCTGGCACTCCTGTTTCAGGAACTGGTGAGCCAGAGCAGACGGGAGAAGAACACAGCTTTGGAGTCTTACTTCCTGATATTTGGACATCTTGTCTCTGACTGGTCAACAGCAACACGACCCTACCACTGACTCGGTTTTCTCTCCACAAATAACACATGCCTGGAGGAGTTCTGCTGTGTGGTGGAGTTGCTAATGCTAACGTTAGCTTCTACTATTGCTCTCAGAATGACCTTGGGGAGTTGTAGAATCTAAGTGAACTTGGTCTAAGTAACTCGAACGTAAGGATCAGGACAACATTGAAAGTCTATTAGAGAAGAGCTTTGGACTTTTATCCAAATCATATTTATCCCGACGTAGCCAACATGCAGCTAATCTCCGTACGCCTGATCACATGGATGATCACAAGAACCAACTGATTTTTGAGCATAGAAGTAGCCAGCGTTGACAGGATGTCATCAAATGGCACGTTTCTTGTTCAAAGCTAAAAAAACTCACACTGCAATAGGAACCAAAACAAAACTCATCAATATGGGACTTTTTTTTTATTCCACATTGCGATGTGCTCTGTGTCTTGCTTTAAAAATGAAAATTTGGGTCTAAATCTCAACACTACAAAATAAAACTGTGTGGCCAAATCCTCACTATGAGACAAATGGCTCCCATTCTGCAGCAGTAAAATAACCTGTCAGACCTAATTGAAATCTCTGCCAGCCCAAACGTCTTATTACTTCCTCCTTCCACCACTTTGTCCTTGTGCCTCCTTTCTTTTCCCCGCATCCTGTGCTTGCTTTATTTCTCTTTCAGCCTCGCTAATTTGCAATTGATTAGCTGTCGTCTCCCAGTCCCGTGCTCCGCTCCCACCCTACCTCGCTGACACCCCCCTGTTATACCCTCCTCCACCTCCCACCCTGCGCTCTCCTCCATCTACGAGTCAATTTCTCTTTAACGAGCCTTGGTACATTTCTCTCCCCAGGCACCAGAGCCGATCTGTGTAAATAAAACAGAGAGCAGAGCCAAAAATCAATGGGCCTATTACCCTCAGAAAATGCTAAACAAGCAATATTAGCGACTCGCTTGGAAGTGGCAGATGACCGCCTCAACACCCCCCACCCCCAGAAGCATCACCACCACCCTTTCTAAATGCTGAATGCCATGATAGAAAACACACACATATTAATGTCCAGGCATGCTGCTGTGAGAGTCAAAATAATTTGCTTCCAAAACGCTCACACAAAAACACACACGCCTGCGGCGTGCACACACAGACCGCAGGCAGAAATTAGGGATTCACTCTGCTGACAGAAATCATTCGGCACCACGCAGAGCTGCAGGCCACATTTTACTGCTTCTCATTTTGCCTGCCTTGTCCGTACAAACATAGCACACACAAGCACACACACAGACACACACACACACACACACACACACACACACACACACACACAAAACAGCAGCAGCAGGCGGCCAGGATTTATAAGAGACACCCCATATTTCATCCGACAACTATGATTAGTGTGCCAGTAAAAAAGCTGCATGTGTGTGCAGCATTCACATGCAGGAACACACACATCCACACAGGAATAAACACACACACACACACACACACACGAGTAAATGTGAGCAGGCACAAAAATGTGCACAGATTCACAACTAGTGCATACAAAACTAAATAAATATCTAAAATGCCTGCAGACAAACACACAAAAACATACACACTGTGTGTAAATATGTGCAGCTTGAATGAGTAGTTAAACACAAACACACACACAAAGTAAGCAGAGTGCATAGTTACAGAAACACACACACACACACAGAGCAAGACAAAGGCAAAACACGTATTATGTCTCCTCATCCCGACACACACACACACACACACATTTGCGTGAGCGTGTTCGCTGTGGACCATTTATCATGGCAGCTGATGTGTGGTTAACACAGACATTTATGCTAATGACCGTGTGTGTTTAAAACAAGACAGCAGCAAACGTAAAGGCTCGTTAAAGGCCAAATCCTTATTGGCTCCAGTCATTTTTCAGCCCATTATCTTGTTCAATTAAACTGATGAAATTCCTGTTCGCATGTGAAATGATTATCGCCCTCACAAGGCAGCCAACCGCTTCCAAACGGGATGGATGGGCATCTTTTTCTCATTCCTCAGCTATTTGTTTGGGTTTTGTTTCCCTCGTAAATGCAGCAGATATCATTAATGAAAAAGGGATATAACAACATCGCAGGAGTTTTTGCATCAGATTCTGCTCGTGCTTAAAGAAATCTAAACTGTTACTGTTCATGTTCATGAAGGAGGATTTTAAGACATTATTTTCATTCAGATTTGAATGTGTAAAGGGTGATTTTTCCCTTTATTATGAACAGTAAAGGAAAATAAATCAACAAGATCATAACCAACTAAACCCAAGGCCAAGCGTTTGAGTAAAGCTGCTTCTTTTTTTGTTTGTTTGTTTGTTTCATATTTATTCCTGATCCGGCTACGTTGGCAAAAACGTTGTAAAATGAGATGTGGGACTTTTTCAGGTGTAATTCTATTCGGTGTAATAAACAGCAAAAGCAGTTTGAGGGAAGGATGCATGGAGTTGAGTTTCTAACTCTAAAAATGAGCTGCAATTAAAGTGGCACAAAAGACAAATGTTTAGGAAAGCTCTAGTAATGTAAAATCCTTGTTTACTTTTTTATCTCGAGCTTGTGAAATCGTATCCTCTTATAAAAACTAATTAGCATGTGTGAAAAATAGTTTTCATCATTCAGTGAACGAGGCCTTTGCTGCCTCATCTGCATGACACCCAAGCCAGAAGGGGCGCTGCAGATCTCACTTTTAATGCACCAAACAATGGCCACATGTTGGTTGTTTGTTTTCAATACTCAAGAAGGTGAAAACTAATCATGTCTAGGTGTCAAAACCGTATTGTATTTTCTTTTTATTTTCAGCGATATTAGAATTGGACCACTCATCTGCTAGCCAAACACCTAGCTAAACATCTAGCAAAACACCTAGCCAAACGTCTAACCAAACACCTAGCTAAACATCTAGCAAAACACCTAGCCAAACATCTAGCCAAACACCTAGCTTAACATCTAACCAAACACCTAGCTAAACATCTAACCAAACACCTAGCCAAAAGTCTAACCATTCACATAACTATTCACTCTCTCTTTCTTAACATTTTTTAACCACAATTGTCTATTTTTGCTCATTTTAAATATATTTTTAAACCATTTTCTAAATTCTTTTTTTATATTTTTACATTTTTTGTTTTTGTGAAGCGCCTCGTGATTTTTATCTTGAGAGGTGCTATAGAAATTATATTTTCTTCTTCTTCAAACATCTAGCCAAACACCTAGCTAAACATCTAGCGAACTAAACACCTAGACAAACATCTAACCAAACACCTAGCCAAATGTCTAGCCAAACACCTAGCTAAACATCTAGCGAACCAAACACCTAGACAAACATCTAACCAAACACCTAGCCAAATGTCTAGCCAAACACCTAGCTAAACATCTAGCGAACCAAACACCTAGACAAACATCTAACCAAACACCTAGCCAAATGTCTAGGCAAACACCTAGCTAAGCATCTAGCGAACCAAACACCTAGCCCAACAGATTACCAAAATAGTTTATTTTTGTTTAAATGGATTTAAAGTCCAGTAAGTATATATTACTGTAATATAGCAAACAACATTAGGTACCGGTAAGTTTTGATGTGCCAAAATAAAAAACAATTCCATTTCAGCTTCAGACCCACAAAACAGCCATTTTCATTTCACGCAATCCCAGATATCTCTGGTTTGACTGTGTTTACAAGCTAAATAACCAAGCCACAAAGAAACTTGCTTCAGCTCATATTCACGTATATCCATTTGTGACAATTTTGTCCAATTAGTTTAACAAATATGCAATAAATATAGTTTTAGCAATTGTTTTTCAATTTTATTTTGATTTATGGAAATTATCTCTAAACCCCAGTGTAATTCTCGGCGACCCACAGTGGGGTCCCGACCCCCAACTCGGGGAACCACTGGTTTAGACAATTAATGAGGATTATAAAATATTTAAGTCCAAATTTTCCATACATTTTGGTATGTAACTAGTAACTTAATTATGTTGTGTTGCAAAGTGCATCAACAAATAATAAGACGGTTTGTAAAAAAAATGTGAATCTGTTTGAAACTCCCAATAAACTAAAGTTTGTCTATTTTCCTTTTACAGCCTTGGAAGAATGTTGGTAATTTTCTTTTGGTAGCAAATCAAAAAAGTAAAACTCAGCCCAAAAAAATAAAACTGCTTCTTTTCAACATTTAGTGTAAAAAAAGAACATCTTACCTGCTTGTGCATCTCGATGTTCAGGCCGTACGACATTTCATAGTACTGGGGGAAAATAGAGATCAAAGCATGGTTGTTATTTTGGGGGCGTTCTTTTGCACGTGCACATCGTGTTACAGACGCAGCGATTGATTAGACTCACCATAACGTAATGTCTCTGCATCTCGGTCTTCTCACTGGCCAGTTTTTCACATTCCAGTTTCAGACTAGGGGGCAAAGAACTAAATAAGTGACCAGACTCAAACGCAGAAGAGAGGCCTGTCTGAATTAAACCAAATAAACAAAACGTGACCAGGAGAGACGACTCGTGGCTCCTGTTACCATGAAGATCTAAACGGGAGTGAAATCTAAAAACAAAAGAAAAGAGCCGTTTGGATGGGCACAGCTTCCTCCTGCTGCAGACGCAGGAACTTACTCAGCATGTGCAGCACAGTAATTACTGAATCAATGGACAAACACACCAACCTCATCATATATTCTTACAGTGTGAGTGGAAGCCAAAACTGGGCCCTCGACAAAAAAGTAACCATATCATGAGAATCCATTTTACGCTAAAGGTTAACTCTTGTTGTTGAGCTTATGGGAAATGTTCAATTCATGAAACGCAGAAAGCTTTTGCGCGTCGTCTAATGAGAAACTCATCAGGTGTGTAATGGACCTTCCAGTACAGGTAGAATAATGTCTTTCTCACTGTGTTATTAAAGGTACATTATGTAAGAATTTACAGTGATTTACAGATATTTTCTAATGTCTAAAGCATGTTGGGAGGAAGGTTACATTGAAAAACATTTCCTTTTCAAATGGCGGGGGGGTTGTCAGCTTGTCGTAGTCTTTGTTTACAATCTTCGGTTCTAGCTAACGCTGCTGCGTCCTTATTTGTAATTCAACACTGGACGCATCAGCGCTTTTTAAGTAACCGGAGCAACACAGAAGTGATTTTTGCAACTCTTAGGAAGCCACGGGCATCTTTCTTCACTCTATCGAGTAAAGAAAGCTAGAGGCTAACACTGAGCTAACGGCGAATTAGAAAACACAGTAGATTCTAAAGAAACCGCAAGCCACTGTTTTACCTTTGACACACACTAATGGGCCATTCCCATCTGCACCGGGTCGGCCCGGGCCGGCTAGCCCCAGTCGGCCCCAGCCTGGCCCGGTTGATTCCACACATCCTTGCCTTAAGTCCATGTGGGCTGATTCTACCCACCAATCAGAGGCTTGCTCTAATGGAAGGTGTGAATTTGCTGTCAGCAGTGGGTGTGTTGGCCCTGGTCGGCCTGAAGCAGACCCCCTCGAGAAGAGGGCTGAGAATGAGCCTTGGTTGGCCCGGAAAAATACCAGGCCACCCAGATATGTAAACAACCTACGCTACCCGGCCCGGGCCGACCCGGTACAGATGGGAATGGCCCATTAATTAACAACCTGATATTAGAGTGAAATGAATTTACCTACATATCATCTTACTGTGAATGACTCGTCTTCATTTGTAATCTGGAATCTGGTGCTGAGCCGTAGATGGCATCAACCACGAAACTCACGGAACGAGAGTGAAAAAGTCACTCATTTGTTTAGAAACTGGGCTGCAGAACCAACATTTGACCACAGGATGTCATTCTTACTTCATACATAACTGCACCTTAAAAAAAAGCTGGATAATTAAAGATCTAAAGATTTCCAACTCTCCAAATCATCAACTTTTCAGAATAAATAAGTTCGTTTTGATCCAAACATTTTAGAGGTTGTTCATAAACCGCCTGGCTCCTGTTGTTCTGTTGGGGTTTCACTGGGGTGGATGACTGCAGCGATAAGCACGCAGCTCATTACCCCACTTCAGCATGTTCAGCCCCAGGATCGAGCAGAAAACTGGACCACTGGTTCACCTCACCAAGTCACTGGGTAACAATTACAAGGTGACCAGAAGTAGGCAATCATTTTGCACTGCTGTAGCGCCTATGGTTCTGCCCTGCGGCTGCGTATTTCACACTTCATCATGCAGAGTAAAACAGCATTTCACACCACTTGCACTTTCAGAGAGACGTGCATACGAAGGTCAGTGGGTTCTACCTGTGGTTAGTCAATGTCGGCCACTGATAGATCTGAGGCAAATGATGGAAGAGTATAATCTCCATATGGAGCGGTTTGGAGGAGCACTTTCATCTTCAGAGGATGAGAACATTCCAGCTAAGGTGGTTTCACTCGTCAACCATAACCTGAACCAAAATCACTTTCTGTCTAGTATTTCATGTTATTGCATCATGCATTTTCCAAGGGTACTGGTCATATTGCTGGAATTAAACAAGACTGGTGCAGGCCAGTGTCAAAGACACCACCTGTTTTCTAACTTTTCCAGCTTTTAAATGATAAATATCATAATTGCTATATCAAATTTTTACTTTATAATTATTTTTATCATGTGAAATGTTTTAAAGCAGGTTCATGTAGCTAAAGGTCACTGAAAATAGCTTTTTTCACTATAGACAGGAGCCTAAGAACTAGAACATTCATAGAGGCTTTTCTGCCAGTGAATAAAATGAATTTAGTTTCTTCTGAGTCAGTTAATTAATCACAGCAGCTCGACTTTTAGGCAGGCTGACTGATGAGAAGGTTGATCCCATCCTCCATCCTACCTGTGATACTGGGCTTGCAGGAACTGGAACTCCTCTTTGATCCGGTCGCAGGACTCGGTGACGGTGAACTTGAACGGCTGCCCCGGCTGGTGTGGGACCTCAACCGGAATCAAAGAGCGTGCGAAAGAGAGAGAGCAAAGAACTGAGCCACCAAAGTTCAGAGTCATGACACATCAGGCAGGACCGTACCCTACAATGGACCTCTGTGATCGAAATTCCCTCCACACACAAACACACACACACACACACACACACACACACACACACAAACAGCTGCAGAAGTTGGACAAGAAGCGCGATTGTCCGTGCGCCCTCGCGGTGGCACGGAGACTGGATCTTAAGCGATTACGCACCAAGCGCGCTGCTGTTAATCTGCGCTCTTCAGAAACAAGCTCTCACACACACACACACACACACACACACACACACACACACACACACACACACACACACACACACACACACACACACACACACACACACACACACACATGCCTTGTAGCTCACTACTTACCGGATGGCGTGCCGGCGGGTACATCTTGCTCAAATCTCGAATCATTAAAACGCGTTTTGAAAGTTCATCCACACTGAAACGAGGCGCGCGAACCGATCTTCCGCTGTGCGTAAAAAGGTCAGTCAGTGGCCAGCTGAGGGGCAACGAGCAGGTTCCAGGAACAGTGACGGCATCCTGGTCCCCTTGGCTAAAAGTCCGTTTGAATGGATCAGAATAGAAGTTGATTCTGTCTTCTGTAAAAAATCTCCTGCGCGCGTAAATCTTAATATTCTCCAGTTGGACCCAAAGATTTTCTTTCAATTTTTCTGCAGAACATCAACTTTTCTGCTCATGATGGCGCAGCCGCATGCCCAGGACTGCGCGTCTCCAGATGGCTCCGTTGTCACGCTTTAATCGGTGTGTTTCCTCCAGCCTCCTTTACGGTTCGCATCCGCGCGCAGCGACGACCGGGAGACACCTCACCAACTGTAGCAGTCTGCCTCCGTGACGCCAGCTTTAGAAGCAATCAGTCGCGCGGCCGCAATCACACATTCACAACATTCACGGGAGCTCGGACCGTGACGTCGGGACGTGTAGTTTAATTCACATTAGTGGATAATAAGTCCTACAGATGCGCGTCTGACGTGAAGAACTACAACTTCCCGACTCCTCCGCGAAGCACCCCCTCCCCTAAAGCCAATGGCGTGTGGTCTGAAGGAGGAGGATGGTTTTAGGGACAGCCAATGGCGATGAAAGGTGAACTCACTGCGTCGCATCCTTGTGTCTGTCATCCGCGAGCTGTCCAATCACATCCAGGCAGGATGCGAGTTCTGCAGACCCCCACGTGGGGAGCTCGAGCTGGAACAGAAGATGCTGCAAGGATGGATCTAGAGACCATCAACTGACTTGTGATTTTTAATTTGAGAAAGAAAAAACTTCACAATTGTCTCCATGTTTAATTGCATCTCATATTATGAGTCTGTTCACGTGTTCCAGCTCACTAAACTAAACCCGCCTGCACACAAACATCAGAAAAAGTCGTTTATTAAACTAATTCAGCGTTAAAATGACTGCATCAAACAGCGTTTGTGACAACTGTCCTTTGTTGTGGGACACATTCAAATAAATGGGATTAAAAATGAAGGATTGTTTCTGTCTCTTTCACTTGCAGAGCACAGATCTAATGACAAACGTACCTTACATGGTGGATGAACACTGGAATGCTGTTCAGTTTACTCACGGTATGTTTACATTAGAAGCAGCAGAGCTAGGTTTGTTTTTGTAATATTAAGAAGCATAAATGTGATTGGGTGCTGTTCTATTCTACACTTTGGTCAGAAATTAACATAATTAACAGCTTTTATTATTCAAATTAGATTTCAATAGAGGTGAGCCAGAGCAGAGAGGAGCAGCACCCGGAGGGCTTTGGAGTTATTTCATCTCGTCTCTGGTTGGTTAACAGCAACACAACTCCACCTCGGACTCTGCTTTGCTGTTGATGTTTTATTTCCACAAATAACTCAAACCTGTAGGAGTTCCTACATGATGTGGAGTTGCTAACGGTTAGCTTTGCTGAGACGTGCTCTGCTCTCTCCTGGATGCTAAATCAGCAACAGCCTTCCCTGTCATGAGCCAAGATGCATGAGTCCAGTTTTCAATGCGGCATTAATCTGGCGGGCTTTTATAATCCAAGCGTTTTATTTTCGTCTGTTTTTATATTAACTAGCAGCAGCTAATGTCAAAAATAGGCGTGGAAGACTATTTTCACTGATGGCCTTCATGTAAAACTCAGTGACCAAAACTAAAAAAGGACAGGTAAAAACAGGTTGTCAGTGAACTTTGTCTTTATGATTTTGATCTTAGCATTAGAGGTAATCGAGAACGTCTATTGCAGATTATTTCTTGTCAGTATGACATGTTTCTATGTCAGATTAAGCATAAATTAAAGGCTGCAAACATAACACCCAATAAACTGAATTTGTGTCACAGCTAAGGAAAACGACCATGTCTCTGAATTCTCGACTAATTCTTGTTAAACTATATTGCTGCTGATGAGAATTTGTGATAAATGCATAAATGAGTGTGTGCATATTTAGATATGTTAATACAGTTACAGCATGCAGATAAATGGAATGTGTGTGAGCTGCTTTAAAGACTCAGAACGAGCTTTGCAGCACATTTTTGCTGTTTTAACATTCAAGTGCTACAATCCTGTTAAGGCTGCTGAGTAAGGTGAAATGTTACAACCAGGACACTTACAGCTTCCCCATTCACTTTGAGGGAGTGAGTGTACATAGTATGTCCGCTTGCATTTGTGGCTTTTAGTTTATGTTGGGTGTGCGTCGATGAAACGTGCTGTTGCTGGCTCAGCAGCTCTCGAATGCTGCCGTCAGTCATTTAGAGGAACTAAATAACTGACAAAGAGAAAAAGTCTTAATCGTCTTTTGCTGCATCATGCTCCCTTTTCTGATCTTTTAGTTTCAGCCGTTTGCAGAAGCGTCTCCGCCTGCCTTAAAAAATAATTCTACAACTGGATGTTTTTTTTTCTTTCATTTATTCTCTTGCATGCACACAAATCTACAATATGACACCACATCAGTCTCTGTTCCCCGCGCCCGCCTCTGTTTTCTGTTGTCTCTGCTGCTCCCTCACACATACACAGGCGTGTAAACACACACACACACACACACTCACACACACATCCATTCAAATACACATCTCTATCTAGCACTCATACAAACTAATATCTCAGGTAAGCACAGGGCCTAGAGTGACCTGCTGTCGGGGTGCATGAATCCACTAAGGCTGTGAAAAGGTAATATTGCGCCCTCCCTCCTACTCCTTCAAGGGCCGAGGCTTGATGTGGACGAGCGGAGGAGGTGCAGAGGTGAGGGAGGGGGCAGGTGAGGAGGAATAAACAGATTTATTTGCCTGCGCCCCTCTCTGATTATTTTGCCCTGCCTTTTGTTCCAGACCTTATGAAACCCAAATGTCAAGTGAGGCGAGGGCCTCATATCGAGTCCTGTCAATCACGGCCCTCGCCGCACCTGAAGATCGGATGCAGGATTATTGGCTTCAACACAAGGGCTGCCTGTGCTGCCAGGCACGCAGACGCTTCGACAGCCTAGTATGGGTTTTTTCTTTTTTCTAAAGAGGAGCTTCATTTGGCGGCTGATGCGCAGGTGATTGCAAGGGAACAGATTTTGAGGGTAGCAAGCTGAATGTGTGTGTGTGTAAGGGAGGTGCAGAGTGGCTTATCAAGGGTGGCGGGGGATTACGAGGGAGGAAGCATGCTTGACATGGGTTGTGGTGGAAAGTGGGTGTTAAGGACTCAGGACCTGTACGTCTGGTTCAGAATAATGATGCAAACAGAAAACCTGCGTCGTTCTCCCGTTTCTCCCCAACAAACACACAGTTGTCAGAAACTGCAGCGACTAACTTTAGAGACACAGGAGATTTGCAAAAGTATTCCAGGAAGAATCCGCATTTCAGGAACAATGCAGAAAACGGGAGGTCCAACCGAGCCACCAAAGTGAGACGCTGCATGGGAAAAGCCGCAAAGCAGCCGACTGGAAGCAAAAAAGCAATAAAATTATATTTGTTGTGATTTCTTCGCAATTTTGAGCAATAGTGGTTATATTATAAAAACAATCATGTTAATGTTAGGGACTTGTTAATGCAAGGTAAAAATGTTTCATGTTTTAATCAAAAACCTCCATTTAAGTTTAGAGCATGTTTCAGCGTGATACAAGGTTTGCCCTAAGTTGTTGTTACCAGGCAGAAGAAAGGTCAGAAAAACCATCTAAATGTTTAAGAGAGACGACAACAACTCAACATAAAGACTAAAGTCAAACAGACAAAAAGAGAAAACGTGGTTTGAGTGGTAAAAATAGCTATAGCCAGCCTTAGGGAAAGGATAATTGTGAAATACGCCATCATTCAGGGGACCGGGAGAGCGGGGGTGTGAAGTTAACGTGGTGTTCGATGACCAGAGGAAGTGTCGTTTTTTACAGCGCTCCTTAGAAGATCAAAAAAGCAGCAGCAGTAACAGAGTAGTGAGGGAGTTCCCGCCACTTTTTTGGTGTTGGGAGTTTATAAAAGTCGATTATGAAGCTGCGTCAACGCCGCTTATTTCCACTTCACCATTAAAGGTTGAATATGGATCACGGACACTACGGCGACATCTAGTGTGTAGAGGTGGTAGTGCAACAACAGAACACATTTTCCAGCCGTCGGGGCGTTGGTTCACTGCCGACACGTGAAGTGGCCAGCCGGCACCACATCCAGGGTAAGGGTAGCCTAGTGAACTAGACCAAATTCTTGCTTTGCAAACTTTGGTCTAGGCACGCTCCACTGGAACCTCTGCAGCTCCTACCAGGACTCTGGCTAGCCAATCACAGCTCTCTAGAGGGGTTTCAAACACATAAAGAGCTGTGATTGGTCCATAATGGTGGGCCAATCATAGTGCTCTATCTGCTTAGTGAACAAATCACAGAGCTTTATCCACTTTGTGGGCTAATCAGGGCGCTCTATATGCCTGGTGGGTGGGATGATGCAACAGAGTGAAACAAGAGGATGTCACATTCATTGTCCAGTGGAATGCGGAGATCATTTGAAAGACAACGGTAGAACCCGCCCCACAACCGAGAGCCGTCAATGGAGCGTGGCCAGACTAAATAATACATTTATTTAGTCTGGCTTGCCAGGCTAGGGTACGGGGTGACTTCTACTAATACCTTTACGTCTCCTGGGTTCAGAAGCAGCTGCTTACAGCCCCAGCCTCGCCTCGTCAAGCGAACTTGTTACGGCAACAGTGCCCCCTATTTGCTGGTATGCAAATATAAACCCCGTGTCGTGCCCGTCAAAATAAAATTTATATATATATATATTTTTAAATATTGCTTCTATAGGAAAAACTGCACCTTCAATCTGCACACTTCTAAACACCACATGGAGGTTTTCTTTATTTATCTTTTTATTAAAATGTTCCATATTCCACCTTTAATGTCTTTTTTTTTATTTTTTTTTTTACAAATGTCTGTTGTTTGAGTTACAACCAATCAGTATGAAATTACCACAAAACCTGCCTAGTACTGGGCCAGTTCAGGCACTTGGCTGGTCCCTGAATTGGCCTGGAAACTCATCCTTTCAAGCTGGGCTGGTGGAATGGAGTCACGCCGATACGGAGAAGATCCGGTACAACTATCCGACATCAGGCCTAAAATTTAGAGTAGAGTAGCTGCTCCTTCACATTGAAAGGACCCAGTTGAGGTGGTTTGGTCTTCTGGATGCCTTCCATGTGTCAGACACTCCTCTGCAGGGGGACACCTCCTTGTGGAGAAGGATTATATCATACAGCCCATCTGGGAAAGCCTCAGAGTCTCTTCCAACTGGGATCTCTGCTTCGCCACGATTCGATCCTAAATAAGTGACAGAAGATGAATTGCTGAATTTGGGTAAATGTTTAACAAAGCAAGCTTCAATTAAGAATGTTCAAAATTCACCACGACTTTTGCTCAGCGTGTGGCAGCTGCAGCAGTCACCGTGAAGACTGGCCAGTTTTTCCCACCGTAACCTTTTCAAGTCTAATCTTCCCTCAACTCCGCTCCAGCACTCGTCAGACTCGCCGCATACAGAACGCTGGTGTGAATGCACTCATAGTTTTGCACTTCATGCAATGTTTTCCTTGCTTTACTCCACCTGTGCCTCCTCAAATCCAGTTTGTTATGGAAGCAGCTTCTGGTTTACCCCCTCTAAAAATAAAAATAGAAAAGTTTTAAGACCGGAGATGATGGGATGGAAAAACAAACCGCCTGAATGAAAATCAATGATATGAATCTATAATAACTGAGGTAGCGACTGTATCCAGTCAGAGAGTCCTAGCCTATGTGGAAAAAGCTTTTAGAAGCTTTTAATGCAGCATAAAACTATCTTAGTGATTTTTATCTAATTTAACTGGTGCATACAGGTTTTATACCCCACTGTTTACTGGTTTTATAGCCGTGGTTCTTCCCCCATTTACAGGATCCTAAATTCATCAGCCAAGAGTAACGTCTATGAGGCGTTTCCACGTCGGCTGCAAAGTGCAAGACGTGCCAGTCAGGACTTAGATGGCATCAACAAAGAAGATTGGGTGGTAATGAAAAAGAGGGGCCCCAGAAAAAAAAATCATCCTTCAGCAAAAATGCTGCTGGAGCCAAACCGCCTGTTCTGAAAAGGATCGCTACGAAAAACACCCAAAATGCAGTTTAGACGGCTGTTTGGATAAATATTCTACATTTATACGTTAAAGGGGCGGAACACTAAAATAACATTTTAAAATCTCAGTTCTGATTATAATCGGTCACTCTGAGTTTTTCATTCAGGCTGAACATGAAAATAGTCTCCTACACCTATCTCCTGCATCAGCTTGTGACAGAAAATAGACAGATCTGCGTCACACCGTCACCTAACATTCATGGACTCACCCGTCCTGACTGTTGTTGGTTTAGCCTCTCAGAAACAGCAGAGCATGTCTTAGCTAGCAGAGGCTAACTGTTAGCGTTAGCAAATCCACCACACTGCAGAACTCCTTTAGGCTGGCGTTGTTTGTAGAGATAAAGCATCAACGGTGCAAGTCAGTGGCAGAGTTGCGTTGTTGTTATCCAATCCAAGGCAAGATGTCCAGATATCAGGAAATAAGACTCCAAAACCCGCCGTCTGAACCTCAGCTGTGATGTGGCTCAAATCCAGTACCTGGTTTGTTTCCCCAGAGTTCCCCTTAAAGGCATTCATTCCTGCTAGAGACCGCTGCAAACGTACTGACAAAACGAGTGAACCACACCTTTAAAGTGAAATAAGAAAAATACTACAATGCACATTTTTCTATGAAAATTTAAATAAACAAATACTCTGTCCTCTCACTTTCATGTTATAATCTGAGCACTGAAGTCTGATACTAATAAAGTACCTGTCTGTTATTTGTGTGTTGGGGGTTCAGTGTCTATTTAATCTTTCTTCAATGAGCATTAACCACTGGTTCGTGTTCTTAAATCTCCCGTCTTTACAGCAAGCGACGTCTAAATCCCCCACCGTTGCCCCTTTAACACGTCATTAATCCCTGGCGGCCGTCTCTTTGAACGCAGAGCTTGTATGAAGGGATAACCAGACCTCCTCAGACACGGAGACAGAGAGGCGGAGGCAGCGCCATGCTGGATTTACTCCGCAAGCAGCAGGTTAATCCTGCCTCCACACTGAGAGAGCAAGAGGAAGGTGTGTGTGTGTGTGTGTGTGTGTGTGTGTGTGTGTGTGTGTGTGTGTGTGTGTGTGTGTGTGTGTGTGTGTGTGTGTGTGTGTGTGTGCGTGTGCCTGTGCCTTTATTGGAGACAGTAAAAGATCGGCTCCATCTCAGTAACGACTCTTGGGGAACATCAGCATCTGGTGCTCAAAGTCATCCGGTTCCCCCTGAAACGAGCGTACAGCTTGCTGCCATTTCTTTATTAGATTACAAATGAAAAGATGCAAGAGCGAGTGCCGATAAAAACTGAAACAGCATGGAGCGACCAGAAGACAAACAGGCCAGGATGCTGAAAGCAGGAGAAAAAACAAACAATTAACTGGAAGAGAAACAATGACGTCCTGAATCAGAAGCGCTAATGAGAGCTGCAGAAACACGAAAGGTTTAGTAAACTGTCCAGCTCTGGACTATATTTAGCATCAGTATGAATATAAATGTGGAGTGCTTTTCACATAATGCTGTTTTAGCTGATGCTGCGGGTCCTGCCCCCTGCTGAACATTCTTATCTTTAAATGTGTGAAAAACATTTTTATTGGCTAAAAGAAACGATCCAAAATCAAAGCCGCCCCACGAGGGGCTAGCTGAGTGCTTCTGATGATCCCTCTTCATCCACTTATGGGCTTGAAATATTTACAGGTTGCATGGTGGTGCAGTTGGCTGCACTGTTGCCTCGCAATGGGAAGGTTGCAGGTTTGAATCCTGGCTGTGGCCATTCTTCTTGGAGTTTGCATGCTCTCCCAGTGAATGCAAGGGTTTCTCCACATACTTCAGTTTCTTCCATAAGTGAGTGACTGAGTGAGGATTATTGTTGTCTTGCTAGCTGCTAACAGCAAATTGCTCCTTGACCAGATGTTGATGGAAGAACTTTGATTTGGCGACGGTGGCACAGGAGTTAGGTGCTTGCCCCGTAACCAGAAGGTTGCAGGTTCAAGCCCCGCTCAGTCTGCCGTTGTGTCCTTGGGCAAGACACTTAACCCACCTCGCCTGCTGGTGGTGGTCGGAGGGACCGGTGGCGCCGGTGCTCGGCAGCCTCGCCTCTGTCAGTGCGCCCCAGTGCAGCTGTGGCTACATCGTAGCTCATCCCCACCAGTGTGTGAATGGGTGAATGACTGATTGTGTTGTAAAGCGCCTTGGGGGGTTCCAGGACTCTAGAAGGCGCTATATCAAATACAGGCCATTAACCTTTTACCATTTGATTTTGGAGCGGAGGTCTACGTCTTAAAGTGTGATATTTTCAGAAATGCGAATCAAACAAGATGGATCCGCGCTCCAAGGAATGTGAAATACCAGCTGAATCTGGTATCTGGTAACACCACTCTCTTTCTCACCGTGTGGTGTGTGGATGAGTGTCTTTCTATATCGGTGAAGATTTAAACGGGACACACACTCCTACTGTTGTGTAGCTAAGTGACACTAAGCAGTGTTTTACCCTTTAAACGATTCCTCATAAGGTGGGATTCAGCGATGGTGTTGGTAGAAACTTTACCAACGTCACATGCGTCAGCACTCTGCAGCCCTCTGCCGACTAGAAACATCAGCTTTGTGGAGCGGGTCGGTGTTCCATGGGGCGCTCTTTACCTGCTCAGCTGCTGTTAGCTATTTCCTGTGCCAGTAGCTAATAAAAGGCTCACAGTTAGCTTTTTCAGTTTGCCAGCCATCACTAATAATAAGAATATGTTTTTTTTTTTGTTGGCTTCATGACGGAGCCTGAAGTTAAAATTCAGAAAGTAACGTCTTTGAAGGTGAAGCTAAGAGCTAAAACCAGAGTAAAAATGACCACAGCCAACGCTCATTTGAGGAAGCTGAAGAAGGCAGTGACGTCACAGGACTGATGGTGACCTGGCTTTGTTGTTACTGGACTTTCATGTTATCGCTAGCTACAGCAGGCTACTGCAGGGCTGTTTATGACTATTTCAACCAGTAGGAGCAGCAGGACAGAGTAGCTGGAAATGGTTAGAGTTACTTTAAAAGGGTCCAATCATTTAAAACCACGTTTAAATGATAAATGACCCGCACTTGTATAGCGCCTCTCAGAGAAAGGACTCCGAAGCGCTTTACACTACAGTGTATCATTCATCCATTCACACACACATTCACACACTGATGGTGATGAGCTACGATGTAGCCGCAGCTGCCCTGGGGCGCCCTGACAGAGGTTTACCTTGTTGTTGTTGAGTGTAGGCAGCTTAGAGAATCTAATGTAGCATACCCAAAAGTCTGTGCCCTCTCTGACCTGCTTTTCTCTGCAAATAAGTGTTCTAACGGCCGCAGAGAAACACCACTTTGCATCTGCATGTCCACCAACATCAACGATATATACAGTAAATGCTGATTGGGGTAATGCTAACCAAACAACACTAGCCCTAGATATTCCTAAAGCTACCTAAAGCTACCGCTAACACAGAGCCGTGTCCAGGACTTTTAAAATGGGGTGGCCCATGTGGGGCACTTGTTTATGCATGGGTGGCACCAATGGTTATGCTTATTTATGTATTTACACAAATCGTTTATTTTTTTTTTAACATTTTTGAGTTTCACGTTGCACAATCACCATTTTTTCTCTTCATTTTCTAGTTTTGTGGTGGTTAGCAAGTCACCCTATCTCCAGCGGTCAACGGGCAATCAGGCGGGGTACACCCTGGACAGAGAGCCATTCCATCGCAGGGCAACACAGAGACACACAGGACAAACAATCACACACACACACACACACACACACACACACCTAAGGACAGTCTAGACAGACCAATCAACCTAACAGTCATGTTTTTGGACTGTGGGAGGAAGCCGGAGAACCCGGAGAGAACCCACGCATGCACAGGGAGAACATGCTAACTCCATGCAGAAAGATCCCAGGCCGGGAAGCGAACCCAGGACCTCCTCGCTGCAAGGCGACAGCTCTAACCACTGCACCACTGCGCAGCTGAGAGAAAAACAACGAAGGAGAATGTCGGAGCATCAGCTTCCAGGATGTGCTGGGAATATCCAGACATTGAATGAATGCCCCTCCCGCCCCAGCTCTTCTTTTACATTTTGAACAATTACAATTTGATCACTAACTATAAATTGGTTTCAAGTTTGGGACGTTCACACCTTAAATACAACAAAAGCCCTCTATTACACAAGACAGTGGTCGTAAACAGGATTTCAGGCTAGTTTTTCCTCTCTTATAAAGAAACGTGTTGCCGTGCATCTGCCTTGAAAAGTGTTGGTCTGCCTTAACCGCTGCGAGGTTTTGTCCTTCTTAACATTCCAGTCATGTGTAACACAAGTAAAGGTAATCACTGTTTTGTTTAAAGTATCACATTCACAAGTCTGCAGGGAGGCTGATAACTTTTCCTTTACATTTTAAAGTCCTTGCTTCTGTCTGCTGAGCAGAAGAGTCTCCGACGGGCGCTTGGACTTTTAACATTCTGTCTCCTCTTCAGTCTAAGACTAATCAGCCACTCGGTGGGGCTCTGGCTGCTAACCAGGACTAATTCTGCCTCCTGCTGGCTGGTGACACACACTGGGACAGCCGTGATTGGCTGTTACGCACCAGGGGGTACACCTCTGATTGCCTGCTTAGCATATTTTCTCCCCTCATTCTGATGGCACATACGTGCTCTTATCCTTATTGCAAATTGCAGAGCGAAGTGGAAGTTACAGATGATGGGAAGCGCGGGCTTGTGTGAGCTCCAATGAAAGGGTTTGAGTCAGAAAACGGCGTCCAAACTCATTATAACCCCCTCCCTTTGTCTTTTTCTGCTTTTGTATTTCATTATTGCACCTTTTCCTTTTCTCTCCTCCGCCGCGGCACAGATCAGACAAAATGTCACCTCTGCAAACTGCCACGAGCTAATTAGCAGTTAGCCATGTTTGTGTTCTTGACTGATGACAAGATCATTTACTCCGGTCTCCAGCTGGCTCTGCTTGTCGGAGCCATCTCATTAACATGGCAAATTAGTCCCGCTCAGTCAGGGTTCTGCCTCGCCCAATGACGACGGCCTGGAATGTAAATCGATCTGCAGGGCGGGAAACGGAAACCACAGAACGGCGGCGAAGAGGAGGGGATCAGATGTGTTGTGTAAAGTCAAAATTAAAGTCGACTTGTTTACAGACACAAAAAAAGGACATTTGAGCTTCTTTGAGGATCGCCTCTCTGTTCCGAGGCGGCTGGCGCGTTGCCGTGTAAAATCAGAGTTTTTATAAGAGCATCACGCGTAAACTGATGAACAGTCACTCTAAATTTGTTGGTTCGTTTCCTACAAAAATTACGCTTCTTTCCACACTTAATCAAGCTGAGCCCTTCCTCAAATCAGTGCAAGGTCACAGACGAGTGTGTTTATGAATAAAATAACAACAAGCAGCACCGCCTTGCAAAAGAAGCTTGCTTGTCATCGTTGCTTTGTTGTTCTGAACTCATCAGGAATTTCCCCCAATCAGCAGGAAGCTGTTGATCAAGCTGCAGAAAACATGTTTAAACGTCTTGGCTGTGGTTTATTGTTTGAACCAAAAGCTGCTTTTGTCTCGTCTGATGCAGAGAGGCGAACGGCCGAAGCTCTGGGATCTCCACGTGGGTTGGTCACACCGGAGGTGCAGGAGGTCTCCGCCTCGCCCCGTCTTTTCTCTGTGTGTTTTACTCCTTCAAGTCGATCTCCGAACCTGCCTCTGTCTCTGGTTTCATTTGCCGGCAGGCTGGGCAGCAGGGAGGGAGGGGGATGGGGGGGTAAAGGACGGAGGTGGAGAGAAGGAGGGGGAGCGGTAATGTAAGAAAATTGGAGGATTAGACGGCGAGCCCTCTTCCTGTCTGGTACAACCCCCACCTCCATCACCTCCACCTCCACCCAGCCCTCAGACTATAATAACACTGACAGCCAGCCCCCCTGCCTCTCCTCTCTCCTTTATCCCTAACAGATCCGTCACACCTCTTCATTCCATCGAGCTTCATTTTTTCCCCTTTCTTTCCTGCGGATCTGAAACCCAGACTCCTTCCCTCTTACTCCATCTAAAAGCTGGATTACACTCCATTTGTGTCCAACTTCCTTTTTCATCCTCGCCGTTCTCCTCAGTTACTTCCCATCATCACCAACTTTTATTACCGTCAAAAGGATGCGGTCCACACTTAAAAGTCATGTGTGAGCTCAACACTTATGATGAAGTATGATCCAGATTTTCATCGGTCTCGGTTTCTGTACGAGTGGAGGGAACATGGCAGCAATGGCAGCAGCGGGTGGAGGCTGAGATATGAGCCAGGGTTTCAGAGCGCGCGTGGAGGGGTCTGAAAGAGTCTAAATGGATCTGCGATTGGACTCTCTGAGGTCGTCATCAGCCCAGATTGAAGGCCATTAGGGCCTATTTAAAAGAATTACTTGCAGGATGCAATCAAAAACCCTGATAGGTAATCAATGGCAACCAGATCAGGGCACAAAGGCAGTCCATGCGTCTCAATCAGCCACCATTCAGCGGGACAGGGAGATCGGTCCCGGCCACATACTGCATTCAGTTGTAATGCATGCATCTGCACTCAGGCAGCACATCATCTACAGCCACGAGCACCTGAGGCACATGTATACACACACACACTCACGGAAACACACCGTTAAAGCTTCAGAACGGTACATGCACACGTTAGGTTGGTCTTCAGAGGGGCGAGTTATTCAGCTCTGCTCGGAGACAGCGATTTATCAGGAGGCACGTCATGCCTCCGACGCCACCCCCTGAGCTGTAAATGAAGAATTACAGGGCATAAAGAACAGAGAGAGATGGAGAGGGCAACAGAGAAAGAGGGAGGAAGGATGAGTGGAGAGGAGGGAGGGATAATGGAGTGAAGGAGGGTAGCAGGCTGCAGACAGACAGCTTGATTTATTAGACCTTCTAGTTAACAGGCCTTCTACACGGACACACACACACACACACACACACACACACACACACACCTAGCTTTCAGTGAAAGTGATGAGATGGGAGAGCTTGGTAATGCTGCTCAATGATGCGTACGCCGTTTAGTTCAGACTGAGCGCGCCCGTCTCTCCAACCATGCCAGCTCGCAAAATGCCCCAGCAGGCGGGGGTGAAAATAAATAAATAAATAAATAAATAAAGAAGAAGATGGAAGAAAAAACTGAGAAAAAAGCACCAAGGCCACAGATTGGGTCAACATGCTGGGATGATAAACAGAGCAGAACCCTCTAGCAGGCCAGCTTTCTGAGCGGTGAAATTAGCTGTAGGGGCTTCATGGGTGCATGCAAACAAGCACTCATACGTATACAAACAGAGACAGACGCTCAAGAATGTGCAATAACTCGATTTATTAGGTTATATACACCAGAGCATATAGATGGAGAAACACGTATACCAACAGGAACAATAACAGTCCTGACATGATAAAACACCATCAGGACGGGGAAATGAAGCACGCGGCGCTACCCTGCAATAAGATTACGGGCCATCGGCCCTCAGTGGGTTTGCCAGCGGGAGTCCCCAGTATAATAAAATCAGATTAAAGGACAATCATATTTATTTCTAGTATATACAATATATCAAGGTTACTCAGTAGCTCTTATTATGATAGGACGTGCGAAGGCAAGCCTCTGTGTGCTCTCCCTCCTCTAAGTTGACATTAGGCTCTGTTTAATGAGCTTCAGGTGTCAGCGAGGCGGGAACGTAACGGGATGTGTTGCCGAGGCTTATTGATTTATTGTTTTTCAAAGAAGTTTTTGTACTTTTGTTATTGCCTGGCTGCCACAGGTAATTTCATTTCAAAAATCATTTCAGCTGCGGGATGGCGTGGAAACGTGTTTGCAGCCAGACAAAAATAAATGAATGAATGAATGAATACATAAATGAATGAATGAACAAACGAATGAATAAATATATATATAAAAGATCAACAGATGAATAGTGACAGGCAGGCAGCTAAAAATACATCGCATGTTTTATCCACCACAACTTTCAAACATACCTATTCTAATGCAGTTTACGTTTTCTTTTGTCTTAAAACTTGAAGTTTTTCAGCCGGCCGAGAAGCGGCGCGTTCAGGACGCATCCCAGAAGTACAGCGTTGCATCATTCAGCTAAATGTAAGCTTCAAGTCGACTTTACACGCGCTACGCCTCCACGGTGCATCAAGCTCATGAGTTCAGATCGGGTCAGACAGGATGTCAAACACCAGTGCAGTGTAAAACCAACCAACTTTCAAAATAAAAGGCACGTGCAGATTTCCTTTTGCTTAACTAATGAAAACACTACCTGTGAAACCCCCGTAGCCGAGGTGAACGGAGCAGAAATGATAAACCAGAGGTGTTTTGGGTCTTTCCCCTTGCTCGTTTTCAGGTGAACTGACAAAATTCAATTCAAGTTTATTTATAAAGCGCCAAATCACGACAAGAGTCGTCTCAAGGCGCTTCACATAATAAACATTCCAATTCAGGTCAGTTCATTAAAGCCGGGCGTACACTGTGCGACTTTTTCACTTTTTTGAGCCGATTTTCCAGTCGTGCGAGAATCCACGAGATCGGGGCGAGTTTTGCGCCGAGCGGTCGTGTAGTGTACGGGGGTTACGAGAGGGGATTAACACCACGTGACCAGCTGCCGATCAGCAGTTGTGAGGTCGCACGGACTTCTGGCGTGTTTAATATTTCCCTCGTGAGAGTATCGCACTGTTGAAGCGGCGCTGCGAGCAGCTGCGACCCAAAAAGTATCAGAACCGCTCACGGCGCATGCGCAATCCTGCATCAGCACCACTCGCTCGCTCTTTCCCTAATAACACACGTTGTTCGTTTTTGTTTCTACACGTTTTTTACTCACAAAGATTGTCAAGAAAGCGTGTTTGTCGTGTTCATGTCAAATTAAACTGATCACAAAACACAGATTTACTTTCTTTATTTCGTTTTCCTCATCCAACCCCCATAAATCCCCGTGTGTCCTCCTGCAGCACTCCCGAAGGACAACAGGCAAAACAAGACAAAAAAGTCTGACGTGTTGAGTAAAAACTGCTATTTTTAGCACATTTTTAGGGCCGACGTGTTGCTACCAGACGTACAGTGTGAGCAGTCAGGTCGCATGCGAGAACTGGGTCGTGCAGTGTGAGCGCATGACTCGTGAGATCTGCCCTGCGAGGAAGTCGTGCAGTTTGAGCTGAAGCTGAACGCTGCGAGTGAAAAAGTCGCACAGTGTACGCCCGGCTTAAGCCAATCAGAAAGAATGTTTCCTATATAAGGAACCCAGCAAATTGCATCGAGTCACTGACTAGTGTCAGTGACTTTACAGCAATCCTCATACTAAGCAAGCATGCAGCGACAGTGGAGAGGAAAACTCCCTTTTAACAGGAAGAAACCTCCAGAGAATCCTGGCTCAGTATAAGCAGCCATCCTCCACGACTCACTGGGGATCGAGAAGACAGAGCACACACACACACACACACACACACACACACACACACACACACACACACACACACACACACACACACACACACACACACACACACACACACACAGGCTGCCTCTTGTTCATATACTTGCTGCTGCGCGACACATCGTACTGGAGTGTTCCACTAGGGGGCACCGCAGAGAACCCACACTGGATAGCGTGATGGATTTGCAGGGTACAAACTAAACAAACATGGCAACAATAAAAGAGATCAGCAGCTGTTCATTATGAGATCACAACAAAAATAAAGACCGCAGCGTATCGTAGATAGTAGCTAAGACCTCTAGCCCTGACACAGCGCGACAACGGCGAGTATGTCTCACTCGCTTTGCCAACGCCTCCTGGCCATTCTCATACTGCAGCTTGCAACTGCGCCGTGTTAATTTCAGAGGACGCACACAAACAACGCTTCAAACAAGTAACGGCAGGCAGCCATGATAAACACGCGTAATTAACAGCAAGTCTATTTCAGACCTAAAACATTACGAGCTGCTCACGATTCGTCTGGTGGAAAGCTGGGTCGGCTGTAAATGCATCATCATGTCTGTGTCACACCTCCACTCTGATTCCCTCTGCCGCTGTTGTCCGTAACCCGTGATGAATCCAGCCTTGTCCTTCGTCCAAATTAGGTGCAAAACTGTCGTTTCGGGTCTCGTAAAATGTAGAGCTTGAGTTCACTTCCGGTACTTTTCTGAGCTTTTTACATTTTAGCTAAATTTGGAGGAAAAAAATCCATCTGCTCTGATTCTGGTTCGAACCGGTTCAAACGTATACAAGCAGCTCTTTGTCTGCTTCGTTGACCCTGTCCAGAGAAAACAACTGTCCAAACAGATCTCGTATCGTTGGATGGGATTGTTGTTATCATAGCTCGGTAATCCAACGAGGCTTAGAAGCCCAATGGGATTAAACTGACTGCACCAGAGACACCACCTTCTTGTCCAAGGTTTCGTGGTGTTTTATTGTGATGCATAAGTCAATATCGATCAGTAAGTGTCCAGTGGATTAGGCCCTGGCTACTGGGACCGTAATCTCCTGAAGGAAGGAGTAAACAACACTTCATAGCGGTTGAATATTCATTTAAGAGAGTGAAATTGTGGTTTACCAGGACGTTAGTCCTCAGAGCATATTCAGGGATCTTTAAACAAAGGCAGTAAAATGTTTCGCTTTTAACCGATCAAAACATGCATTAAGCAGCAATTATTGATTTTTTATTGAATTCATAAAAAATGTGAAAACAGTATTACACACAGAGTTGCTGTTAGGAAGTGTAATTTTGTTTTTGTGACTCGTGTTCAGGTTTAAGCTCCAGAGCTGGAATTAGCGTGCACATCTCTCTTGTTTTTCTGGATTTTTTTTTGACGAGTAAAATTGCAACTGTGCCTAATCATGTGACACGAAACGTGTGGCTCAGACGGTTCAGCGGTCTCCTTGCCCACACAACTGGATGTCCCTCTCCTCGGCTTAAATGCCACACAACTATGAGTGGCTCCAGGTTTGGCAGGCCAAGATAGCAGGGTGTTGTTGAGGACTGAGATTGCATGAGTGAGTGCACATGTGTGTGTGTGTGTTTGTGCGTGTGTACGTTGTGTGAACAGAGAAGTCATCTTATTTACCCACCTTGGTGTAAGGGGTGGTGATTGCCCGCCCAGCTAAATGCCATGCAAATGCTGCTGCTGCCGTCAGGCTGCCAATCACGCCGCTCTTGGCATTCACGGCATGCCACCGGAGCATTTACAGCGTCTGTGATCTTTACTAAATGAGAAATAACCCTAGCCTGTCCACGCTGGCCGCAGCTTTTAAACAACCAAATCCCCACGTTCCCCCTGGAAAACGCTGTGAAGACAGTGCATCGTGTCAGAGGAACGATAAAGAAAACAAAGCAGACGGAGGGGAAGGGTTGGATGTGTGGGTGGTAGGAGGCGTCTCGCTCCCCCGGTACAGCCTCATTATGATGATGTGATTTGCTGGAATGGCAGCAGCAGCTCTCGTCACTAATACCAGCTCCCCTGAGCCTCCAAACAGCGCTTTATTAAACTTTATGAAAGGCTTAGCTGCCCAATTTATGAGCCAGCCTGCTGTGGACACGAGCGTGCGGAGACGGAGGAAACACTGCAGCTCTACATCAGATGAGATTACACAGAACAAAAAGTTTCACCCCTGACACTGCTTCTGCTCTCACTTTAGTCAGATATGCAAACATAGGATGTGGTGCTGGACTTCTTTCTGCAGAAACTCACGGTGACACGAGCAAACTTCCTACGTGTCGACTTTTAGTGGAATCGTTTAAACATTTTCAGCACTGACGAGTTTTAATGGTTTTGTTCAGTATTATATAAACAATTAGTTGAGACAAACGTCAAATTTAACAGCAAATTAGGAAAAATATCATTTTAATGGCAAAGCTACATTTTTTAACAGATCAGAAAATAACTAACAGAATGAAATGACTGTTTCCCTCCTCTGACACAGAACGCAAGGTCTCATGCGTTTGTCTCTGATCTGCTTCTTTCCAGCTCAAGAGAAGAATGAAGAAAGGACTCTCTCCTTTTAATAAATCAAAGAACTCTATTTTAATAAAGCTAATCAAACAAAGTGTTAGTCAATAATAAGATGTTACCAAGCTGTGAAATGAAAATATTAATTACTTTATTATAATCCTATAGAATAAAATAAGTAATATGACTTTAAATGTTTCCACTAGGACTGATCTCACGTAGCGTTAAGACACGACACATTGCTTTACTGATCCAATCAGAATCTGCCAGATCTGACAGAGGCGTGGTTTTGGTGGTGTTTGGTAAATCTGTCATCTTTTCATTCGACCATAAACCAAAACATCTGAAGTATAAAACTATGCCCACGCCATCTCTAACGCCAGTTCAAAGCGTTCTAGAGAAGTTGTCGGAGTGGCCAATCCGTAACTTTCCTCTTCAGCCGAAAGAAGCAACGACAAGCTGGATAAAATCTGTTGCTGTTCCACCTGCTGCAACGGTTCCTTTCAGAATAAAAGCTGAACCATCACGACCCAGGTTTGGGTCTCGCTAGATGCCAACAAAACTGTCGTGACGCGGAAGTACGTCAGACTGGTCTGGTCGGCAACCGCTGCTTTTCCTACCGGCTTCGGTTCCAGAGAGGGTCCAGCTGGACCTCGACATTCCTGATCTAACGGGGACTTCCGCTCAGGGTATGTAGGCCGGCGAAAATGGCGTCGAATGTGTTTATGAATCTCCTAACCAAAGCTTAGCGCGAAGACATCACCTTCATTTCCCATCAGAACTACTTCGGATTTGCTGGTTCTGAGCAACATTCCACACTACACCATTCTCCGTCCATCCACCTTAGTTACGCCATACATTTAGTGTTAAAGTCAGACTAGTTTAATTTGTTTGTAATAAATGTTTAAACTTTTAAACTTGACTCTCTCTCCTGTTGTCTCTGAGTGAATACGAAGCTGTTGCATAATCCCTGCAATAAAAAGTTCCAATCTTCTGGTTAAAATAACCCAACAGATCCATAAGGTCGATTTCATATTTCCCATGGAATCCTACGCCTTATGGCTTATTAAATAACATGTGATTTAAATCATTACAAAACATATAGGCTAAATCATTCTAGCTAATCTAACAAATTATTCACTCATAATTTGGTTTAAAATCTCCAATTCTTAATGTTTCACTTTTTCATTCTTTGGTTAGTTTTAAAGTTTCGTTCCATCTCAAACAATCTCACGTTTTTGTGTATTTTATCTGGAGAGATCCTTAAAATTGACCAAAAATGGACATTTTATGTTTTAATTTTATGTTTTTTCGTCATCGGTGCTCGTGTTGAATCAACACACAAACTAGGTTTAAACCCACAGCAACATGTGCGCTCGTCTAGTCAGTAATCACGGTTCTAATGAGTCGAGTCATCAGGTGAAATGAGGTGAGATTATTTGAGATGAAACATAATGACAGATTAGATGACGGGAGGAGAAGAGAGGTGAGACTAGACTAAACAGGATATGATCTGATGGTTTAAAAATAAACAGCATGAAAAGAGATGAAATTCAATACATTTTGATACGAGATAAAACGAGATGAAATGAGTTTGATTGTTAGATGAGATAAAATAAATCTTG